TACAATTGACTGAGAAAATGGAGGTATATCAAATGTAAAATGTAACTTATTAATTTAAGTGTATTATTTATATGTGTTTATTTCTCTCTTCGCCACTTCCTGCGCGAGTGTTCAGTGCGCATGACCGCAAATTCCCAGTGGCTTCCTCGGTTTCTTTGGGGAAGTTGGAACTACTTTACTTCAGCCTGTGTTCTCCGTCTCTGCTGACGTCAGTGCAGGTGAGTGAACGTCGCTTAAATAAACTCTTTAAAGTCTTTTATTTATGTGGGTTTTTGTTTTTGTGTGCGAGCGAATGAGAGAGAGAGAAGAAGCGGAAGAAAAAAAGATACGAACTTTAACGGCTCAGGTGTGTGAGAGGCAGCGTGAGTTTGTGTGAGTGTGTGTTTGTGTGACAGAGCTAGCTATTGTTTCCTGTTGAGTTTGAATCTCTTTCTACTTTGTTTTCCATGGTTTACATTGAAAATGAAAGACCTGTGGTGATGACGTCACTGGCTGACCTGGAACAGCTTGCGGATTCAGGTGAGTTTGTTGAGAAGGCCTAAATAAACGTCTCTCTCGCGACGTTTATTTAGCAATAAACAGTGGCGGGTTTATTGTTTTGCTTTGTTTACCTTAGCTTTTAAAGAGACAGTTATTATTTTTAAGGACTAAAGTTCAGACTGTGAGTCCTGTGAGTGTGAGCTACAGTGTCAGTGAAATCACGGCAGTCAGGTTGAACCAGAAAAACGATCTCCCTCTCCAAAGAGAAGACGACTGTAAAACAGTGTTTGTGGATCACAGAGCACCAGAGCTGCGGCCTCGTGTGGTTACTTAATGTAATTGAAGTCTACCTGAGAGGCACCGGAATCATAAAACATCGGGGTTGAACCTTATGATCAAGTCGATCATAAGGTTCAACTTTTATGACGTGCGGTGAAATTCATCGCTGGTGAAGCACTGACTCCTGTGGATACACACACCAGGAAAAAAGTATATTTATTCTGAATTTTAACCACAAAAATGAACATAGCTAAGTATTTTAAGGCAAATGAGTGCATTTTTAGTCATTTTTGAGAATTTTTTTTTTCCGGAGATTTCTTCAGGATCTTAGTGGTATAGGATTTCACTATGATCAAAAGTTGACTTTCCAAAAAAGTATATTTTTTCTTAATTTTAACAACAGAAATGAACATAGCTAAGTATTTTAAGCCAAATGAGTGCATTTTTAGTCATTTTTGAGAAACTTTTTTTTCCAGAGATTTCTTCAGGATCTTAGTGGTAGAGTATTTTACTGTGATCAAAAGTTGAC